CCAAGACATCAGGTGGACAGCCGGGATGATGTAGGTACAGCCTAGACACACAGCCAACTGCACCAAGACATCAGGCGGAGAGCCGGGATGATGAAGGTACAGCCTAGACACACAGCCGACTGCACCAAGACATCAGGCGGAGAGCCGGGATGATGAAGGTACAGCCTAGAAACACAGCTGAGTGACAGAGTAACTGCAGAGAGCTGGAACAGGTGCACAATAAGAAGAAACTTCTCCGTGACTTAGAAACCTCTTTTAAATAAAAGCTCAAGACCAGACAGCTTCACTGGTGAATTCAAACAAATATTTAAGACAGGATTAACAGAAACCTTCAAACTTTCCAGAAGTTTGAGAGGGGATCAATTCCTTCCTCATTTTAGGTCAGGTTACTCTGATTTGAAAGCCAGATGCACATTGACAAACAGAGAAGGAGAGGCTCACAAGTACAGGTGTAAAAACTGTGCACAGAGTTCAGCGAGCTGAATCTAAGCGATGTTCAAAGGGATTCTCGCGGGAACGCAGCCGGTGCCATGCAGCCCGAGTGCTGCCCAGTGCACTGAGAGCAGAAGCCATGCAGCCCCTTGGCCACCCCATTTCATAGGCTGTCCCTTCACGGCAGAGACAACTTCCTGGGCATGACTGGGGACACTCCTGAAGAAGCACGGGGCTCCTAGGCTGGAGACACAGATGCCTTTCCCGCTGTCTCCCGCTGCTCTGCTGAAGCTCTCGCAGGAACAATTAGGTAAGAAGAACGAGACAAAACAAAAAGCATCCAAGTTGGAAGGAATTCAGACTTATTCTGTTCACAGACATGGACCTATATATAGAGAACTCAAACAATCTGCGAGAGAAACGAGGAAAACAATATAATATACCGAAATATATTTAGCCAAGGGCATGCAAGACTTGTGTATTGAAAAGTATAAAACACTGCCAAGAGGAACTGAAAAGGCCCTGGGTAAAGGCAAGCTCTTACTATTATTAATTGCCAATAAGATGTCAATACTTATCAATAACATGGCCATCCTGCTCTGACCCATGGGTTCTATACAATCCCTTTCCAAATCAAAGCGGCTTCTTTCTTTGGAGTTGGCAAGCCGGATTTTCCGATTCCTGGGGAATTGCAAAGGGCTTCAAATAGCCAAAACAGTATTGCAAAGGAACACATTTGGAGTTCTTTCCCCTCAGAACTGCAAACATTATTATGGTCCCGGCATAAACACAGATGTGTAGACAACTGGAATAGAAATAAGGGTCTAGAAATAACCCATGGCCAGCTGATTGTTTTTGCAATAAGGATGCCAAGGCCATTCAAGGGAGAAAGAACAGCTTTTCAACACACTATAAATAAAAAAAAAATACTCCAGAATGGAAGAAACAGTTACCTATCAGAATTAAAATTACAATACTAGTATAGAAAAAGAGAGGATAAATCTTTATGACCTTGGACCAAATGATGGGTTTCAGATTTGACATGAAAAGCTGAAACAACAGAAAAACTGAACTTTATCAGGGGTAAAAGCCTTCTGTGCACCAAGGGAACTAAGAGGGCTGAGAAGCAATGGTTTTAATTGCTTCCTCTTTGCTCATTGATGGAAATTCCCACCCTAGCACCATAGCGATGGTTAAATAAGCAATATCTCATCCCGGACCGATGGGCCTAAGAACAGGTTATCAGACACGTGTGCTCACACCACCAAGGAAGAGGACACTGCACACCATAGCTAGGGGGTTGCATTCAGGAAAAAAAGTGAACAGTCAGAACGTTGAGGTGTGACTATGCCAGAAATGTAACCCCAATTCAACAGTGTTGGGAGGTGGAGCCTCTTAAAGGGTGGTAGGGTCATAAGGACTCTGTTGTTATGAGGCTATGGGCCTCGACAGAAGGAATCTGGTTTCTTTACATGGCTTCCATCCCTCCCCCTACACGTGAGCATGACTTGCTCCTGTCTGGAGGGTGCAGCAAGAGGGACAGGCTTAGCCTCAGGGACAGAGACCATGTCAGGACCGTGAGACTGAGCTTCCCGGCCTTCGGAGCCAGTGAGACCCCAGATCCTGAATTTCTTGTAATTCCCTGATCTGAGTGCCTACAGCTGCTCTGAGCACGAGACCTTCAGGAGTTCCCGATAGCAGGAGAGTGGTTTCTGGTGGGTTTGGCTGGGGCGTGGCTATCTCTATATAATCTGCCCCTGAACACAAGAAAGGGAGCATTCTTGGGGAATTCAAGGATGACCTGTGTCGCTGCCTCTCCGTCTGTGTATTTTAACCTCCAGCCCCCTTGCCCGAATCTCGCAAACTGGGTGCCAGTGCACAGAGCGCAGACACGGGAGTGCGGCAACGAGACGCAAATATCTTGTTTATAAATCTCCCAGCACGTGTGCACGCCTGCACACAAGTGCACACGCACATGCTATAATAGCACAAACAGATTAGACATGGGTCTGTTTAGGCACACAAGCACACCGAAGACGGAGGTGAACTCTGGCTGCTAAGTAGGATATACACAAAGCTTTGCGACTTAACAACAAAAACAACAACCTAATGAGAAAATGGGCAACAGATAAGGAGATAAACACATGGTCACTGAGCGTAAGAAAAGACAATGAAAACCACGAGGGTGCTCTTCCCGTCTGGAAACACAGAATGGGGCGGTTGCCACGGACAGCCCTTTGGCGTTCCTCTCAGAGATAAACAGGCTTACCGCATGACCCAGCCACTCCTTGGAGGTGAAGAAATGAAAATGCGCACTCAGCTCTGAGCGGATATCCACGGCCACACTATCCACAGAGCCACGGGCAGAAATAACCCAGATGTCCATCAAGAGGCGAATGAGGAAACAAGATGTTCTATACACACTTGACAGAAAATTATTGGATCATAAAATGGATGAAGTACGACTGAGCTTCAGCATGGACACATATTGAAGACATTATGCTAACTGAAAGAAGCCAGGAAGAAAAAGGTTACATGCTGTATGGTCCACTTCTATAAAATATCCAGAACAGGAGAATCCACAGCGACATGAACAGACTGGAGGCTGCCAGGGACTGAGGACGGCCAGGGGTTAGGAGAAACTGTTTAATGGGCACAGGATTTTATTTGGGGTTTCAGAAGTATAGAGGTGCTAGGTGTGTTATGGTGAAAATGTACTAAAATTACACTGAACACTTAAAATTTTAGATTTTTGTGTTACGTGAATTGCAAATTGATTTTTAAAAAATATCTAAGAAAGGAAAACAACGCCCCGCTCCCTTTGTCAAATGTATACATGACAGCTCTCACTCGGTTCTCATGCTTTATAAATGCAAAGCATACTTGGGCTCAAGTCAATCACAACACTGGAAAAGGCACTGGTCTAACTTAGTCAAGCGCTCCTTAGCTGAGAGCCATTGTTCTTCCAGACATACAATCATCCCTTACTATCTGAGGGAGACTGCTGCCCACCCCTTCATGGTTGCCAGAACCCGTGAGTCTCAAGTCCCTTATGTAAACGGCATGGTATGTGCATACAGCCTACGCATACTCTCTGTATGATTTAAAGTATTTCTAAGTTGCTTCTAAGCCCTACTATATGACGACAACCGCGTGCCCCCATAACTCCACTGCTGCACAAAAGAACAGAATGGGTACTCAACACCTGCAAACAAACAGTCAGAGCAACACTGTTGGCGTCTAACAGCCGTTATGCTGGGGCTGGAGAGACAGCTTAGCAGTTGGGGGCACACGCTGCTCTAGCCCATGGGTGGGGAACTCACATGTACGGATGGAACACACAGAGGCCGATGGCTGGCCGCACTGCTAAGCTCTCCCATCGGTGCCCTCTTGACACAGCCCGCTTTACCTCCAAAGGCAGTGATGTTAAACTGCTTCCAAGAACCCTAGTATACTTAGCAAGGTCTAATTTTTCGTGCCCTGGACACTAGATCTTCCCAATCTAGGACAGTGGGTCTCAATCCCATTCCACATCAGAATCACCACTGAAGCTTTAAACACCACTCACCTGTGAGTGTGCTTCCAATAGAGTCAGGCTCTCCGGGGCGGGGGCGGGAATCCAGGGGTCAAAAGCTCAGTTTTCAAGACTCTCAAATGACTTTAATGTGCAGTCAGAATAGAGAATAGCTCAGCTAGAATATTCCGTATCCCCATTCCCCGCCTGGCCACTGGTGCCTTAACTTCCTTCTGTTCCCCCTCTTCCCTGGCACGGGGGCTGCTGGGATTACAGTTCACAGAGCAGATTTGCTCTGGTGTTTTCTAAATGCCAATTATTTATGTTGGAAAGTAGTATCTTTCTAGAAATTAAGCCATTTGACTGGAATTTCTAATGTATTAAAGTTGCCTGCAGCATCCCCTTACTCTCCAATGCCAGTGTACACATTTGTGCTGGTCCTCCTTTGTCCATTCCCCAAACTGTGATTCCATCTCCTCTCTTCTTTCTAAATCCATCCTTCCAGGGCCCTGGGCACTGTTCCGCTGTTCGAAGACCAGGCCTTCTGCCTGCTCTGCATTGCCCCCTTCTCCCCGCCGCACAGCACAGCTGATGTCCACCTTCCGTGTTGTTTCCTGGGCTTTTGCTAACTGGTCTTCGGCTGTTCACTTGAGACTTAGATAATTTACTTTCAAATACCTTTTCTGGTGCAGGAACTTAGGATATAAATTTCCTTGAGCCCAGATATAGCTCTAGTCCACCAACTTTGAAAAGCAATATTCTCATTATCGTTATGATTCTGTTTTAAATTTTATGCCTTCCTTGTGGTTTCTTCTCTTACCTGCAGGTTATTGAAAACTTGTTTGCAATGCTCAGGGTCAAACCACAACACAACACAACACACATGAGCCAGGCACTTTCCCGCTAAGTCACACTGCCTGCCACAGCTGGCGCCATGTTGCGAGGTCACATAGAAACTGTCCTCAGTGAGAGGACACTTCTCACCCACAGTCCTCACCATTTCAACCACGTTTCCGATCGGCTCATGCCCAAAACAAACAAGAAAGACACTTACTCTCGCTCCTTTTCCGTCAGCTTGTCATTGATATTATCTTTGATGGTTGATCTGGACCCCTTATGAATGATGGGATATCTGAGGGGTACTTGTAGGAAAAAGGAAATCATGGAGACCAAATGTGCTGTGTAACCAAGGGCAACGGCAATGCTTCCATCATCTTTTGCTGTAAATTAAAAAAAAAACAGAGGCGATTAAAACAACCATTTACCTTACAAATGTAGCTCTGAGGAGGTCTTATGCAAACACGTGAGAAATAAAACATTAGTCACTTATCTAAAGTATTGAATTTATGCAAATCTAAACACATTACCAAGGCTTGAAATTTTGCCTACTAATTACTCTTAAAGCTATCTCCCAGTGGTTAGCGTGTTGAGGTCAACATGTAATACACATCTTACGCAAGAGTTCTCAGTATGCCTGAATAGCCATTACTTTCTTTTGTCCACTTTAAAGTGGGGAACTAATACTCGAGTCTATCACATAATGTAACACCATCAGCTCAACAGGGACAAAGACAGGGTCCAAGTGGACAGCTTAGTCAAAACCACACTGGTAAAAGCCGCAAGCCATAGAGGGAGAGGGAAGACTGCTTCTATGCCTCAAAAGATGCTGCTCTCCAAATATCCCAAGTTTGAAGTTGTGGCTGAGCCTGGGCTGTCTTCCTGGCGGCTGAACTCTGCCTCCTGCTTTCTAGAAAGAGACGGAAACATTCCGAGGAGCAGAAGGATTGGCCTTGAGAAGAACTCCTTTGGAGGGGAGACTTACAAGACTTACAGGGGCTCACACTCCGCGACACGGACACTACCCGCTACGGATCTAACACTCCCTTCCTATATGACAAGGTAGGAAAGGGGTCAAAAACTTTCAGAAAGCAACAAAAAGCCTTTTAATGAGCCTCCCAAAGAAGTCAAATGTAAACCGCTAATGGTCAGTACCTCAGCATCTAATGCTTCTCATATTACCAAAGGGTAATGGTAAGATTAGTTACATTTGCATATTTCTGATTACAAACACATCTTTCTTAAGCGAGCAAAGACCCGACTGCGCATCACCTCCCTGCAGTGGGCAAACCAAAAGGCATCTTGAAGAGAACTGCAAGACAGAAATGAAAACAAATCCAAAGGAATAGCAGACGGTAGAGTCAGGTAACACTGACCTTCCGCTCAGTCCGTCCACGCTCGGCACGGCGGCCACGATACTCCCCGCTCTCCCTATTAAACACCCTATGAAGTTTCCCTTTCCAGGCCATCACACACCTCCAGCCTCACGGTTAAATACTGTGGTGTTAGATTTCCAATATTGAAGCTTTACACTAAAAGGCATTTTAAAAGGACCGCGGGCGGAACCTTACAGGGCCCAGGAGGATCTCAATGCCCTCCAAAGGAAACCCCCGCCTGGTAGGGAAGCCACCGCAGAGCCCCCAGTGGGAACATGCGAGATCATGTGGTTAATTGCGGCAATCGCAGGTCATGCGACCTCAGATGTCACATTCTGTTGCCAGTCATTTCAGCTGAAAACTGAAAGGTTTAAGGTTCTCAGCATTCTGAGATCTGACAAAGCCAAACCTCGGCCCCTCTGAGGTCTGCTTTCCCAGAAGGAGGTCCGCCACACCTAACAGAGGGGAGTATAGGTTTCCTAGGCGGCTCTGGGCAGTAGACAGGGTCATGAATGATAGCTCTGCTGGTGCAGAGTCAGAGGGAGAGGGGCAGGTTCTGGAGCAATGGGAGGAACTGTAAGACTTAGGTATGTGAGCTGATACTAACGCAACAGGGCTCGACGAGCTTGAGAGCAACTGAAAAACCCACAGTTCCCACATAATAGGTATTTCTGAGTTGTTTTTAAAATGTAGGTCCCCACCGAAAGCTGGAGCTTTGGTGTAATTTTTATGATTAAAAAATGCACAAATATATACTAGTTACACAAACATGAATCAATTCAGTGTTCCTTTGAGCCATATGCTGGACAAACTGTTCGTGTTTCAATGCATCTGCACAGTGAGATCTCAAAGCTCTTCCCATCCTGCCTTCCCAAGCCCCGAGGTGTCTGTTAGGGAACCAAGCACCCACTGATCCAGGCAGGACCAAACAGTTAAGACTCTAATCACTGCCACGGCGTCTATGGAATCATTCCATGTTCTCAATGAGACGCTGTTTGACATACAGACTCCCCTCCCCAGGAAATCATGCCTGCATGAGGGACACAGACACAGAGGACATCTGGGTCCCATTACCACAAAAGGTTCTCATGTTATAGATTACTTAAGAACACGCAGGCACAAACATTGGGGTTTTTTGTTTTCTGCTCCCCACGTGTCTCAGTCAATGGAACTCAGATGAACGTTCTTTCTGGACACCATCCTCCCACTGTGCTCAGCGCTCTCTGGCATGCTCTAACCACCACTTTCCCATTCAGGGAAGCATAAATAGTGGGCCCCTTGGTGGAGTTTCGCAAACATGGCTGACCCATGCAGTGTTAATCCCTGTCTAGCAGAGGCTCTAACATCATGAGAAAATCAGCGGGAAGCCCCTTCCCTAGAACCTCTCCAGAATGCACACTGGGTCTTTAAAGGCTTGGGAGGTCATTATTCAAAGACCAGGAAGAAAATGACATCAGGACAGGAATAGAGCCCCTTAGGTTCCGGCAGATCAGATCGGTGCTGTCTTCAGCTTTGCCAGCAGCTGAGTCCTTAGACGGAAATTTTAAAAATTTTTTAACACCACAATTCATCCTCTCTCTCTCTTAAATTTATTTATTATGTATATAGTGTTCTGGGCACCAGATCTAATTATAGATGGGTGTGAGCCATCATGTGGTTGCTGGGAATTGAACTCAGGACCTTCAGAACAGCAGTCAGTTCTTTTAACCTCTGAGCCATCTCTCCAGCCCTCTCTCTCTCTCTCTCTCTCTCTCTCTCTCTCTCTCTCTCTCAAACAAACAATATGCCCAAGACAATTCTCTGTCCCCAGAGGAGTCTCATGGAACTAAAGCAGCAATATCAAACACCACCGCACTTCTCTGAAATTTTTGAAACAAAGTCTCATGTAGTGGAAGCTGGCTTTGAACTCCTGCTCTTCCTGCCTCCAAGTGTTGGGATTACAGGTACTTGATCAAAATCTGTTGGCGTTACTGCATTTCCAACACCCGACCTAAATCACCCTCTTACCCTCTTTTCAACAGGGACAATGAGTTGTTTCTGAAGACAGCTCACGCATTCTCTGGTTCTCTAAAGTGGTTACCTGATCCCCCACTTTGAGTCTCTAACATAGACTATGCGTTCAATAACCACTTCTTGCCTAACCTGATTACATATCTGATGCCCATAACAGGCCTGCAATCTCCTGTAGGCCAGATCAATGATTTAATCCCCTCCACATTCCTTTGACACCTGCAATAGTAGACAACGAGGGGGCATCTATGTCGTTATACCACAGAAGTGTCCTGTAGAATGCAAACATATTATTACCGTACGTCCCTCGGGGGACACGGGGTGGACTGGAGAGGACCTTGGGCTAAAATTAAATGTTTGTTTCATCTTATCTCCTTTTTCACTCTCAGTGACTTCACTAGGGGCTACTGCGCACTTCTAAAGGACTGGAGAGTGTACTTCACTCTCAGTGACTTCACTAGGGGCTACTGCGCACTTTTAAAGGACTGGAGAGTGTACTTGGCTTTGCTGAGCATTCTAAGTGTAGATAGCTGTGGAAGCCATGAGGAACACGGCACTTCAAAGAAAATCAAAAGAGAACCGAGTCCCTTGCTGAGCTCCCATCAGGGAATTCCCTACTCAGCCCCGTGCAGGCCACAGTCCCTCAGAAGCCCTTACTGGGAATGAAACAAACTGCCCCCAGCACCCTCAAGGCCCTGCGGGCCTCTCCCCCTCTCTAAGCCTCTTCCCCTGGCACCAATAAAGACCTGATCTTCGCTCTCCTTCCTTCCTCTCCCATTTGCAAGAATTTCCAATTATCGTTTACTGAGGACTTCCTACATGCAAAGCGCTTCCGAGTATCATCTCGTTCAACTGTCCTGAGGAATGGTTTCCTAAAACAGCAGTCTTCTTTCCATACGCCAGTGCCGAGGTTTTCAATGCCAAGTCCCTTCCAGCATGACCTCTGGTCTTTGAACTTAAGCACTCTCCAGCTAGAGCCTAGTAAGTTTTTTCCTTTCATACTGTGTAATAAGTGTTGCTCCTTAGAGTGGTCTCCTTGCCTGTCTGACACACACTGTCTGGTTATTAATTACATCCTATTGACTGGCTGTTTCCTTCAGCAGGCTGTGGGTTCTATGGAAGAACAGAACATGCTTGCTGTCCTTACTAATTAACGTGTATTAATGTATTCATTCCAATAATTACACCCTCGGGACTCAGCACAGTGTCTGACATATAGGTACTCAGTAAATGTATTTTTGTTATTTTATTTATGCGTATGGGTGCCCTGCCTGCATGTATCTGCGCACTATGTTCATGCCTGATGCTGTGGGGCTGTTGGGTCACCGTGAACTGGGGTAAGGCAGATGGCTGTTAGCTGTCATGTTGGGAATGGAACCCGAATCTTCTGGAAGAGCAGCCAGTGCTGTTAGCTGCTAAGCCATCCCTCTAGCTCCCAGCAAATATCTTTTCAGTGAGTGTGGAAAACAATGCACCATGAGCTTTAGGACGTCACAACTTTGCCCAGGACGAACACCAATGCACTGTGTAGGAGAGGGTCAGTGTACCTGAGGAGGGGGGTGACCTACCCGGATGCTCAAGGGTCCGTGTGCCTAGGGGACCTACCTGGCAATGTTGCTAACACCATCCTCAGGCTTCCTTTGCTTTCACAAGCATTAAAGATAAACTAAGAGGGAGAGTTTTTATAAACCTGGGTGTGCCCCAGTTCTCACAGCACTTACACAAGACTGACTGACTGGACACTAACTCCAACATGACATGGCTTACAGAAGGGAGCCAGAACTGGGACGGAGACTTCCCACCTCCTGGGTATCACCATCCTGACATCAGGTCCTAGCTATCCATGTGTTCTGTGGGTGGACGGGAAACTCACTAAACTCCACTGGAGTCTATGACCACGACAGCAATGTTCTTTAAAGGGAGTGGAAAAACCCCTGATGAGCACTAACACCCTCTCCCTCAGTTCCGGGATGTCCGGCTGGCCTTGGGAGCACTCTGCAAAGCTTACTGGGAGAACTGCAAGCAGCGTGTAGGCTAGGGGGAAAGTATCAGTTTGCTAACAACGACAACTGTCTTGTGGGTTGGGGAGCTGGTTCAATGCTGTGAAAACATGCGTTTGCACACTCACACAGTGTGCATGTATGTATGTATTTATACACATATACATATGTGTGTCTGTATATGTATATATGTGTGCTATATTTTCTTTGGTGTATTTGTACAGAAACAAGAAAACAGAAAAGATTTTAAAACACAGGAACTATTTTGAATTTGAATTCTGTAATCCCGCTAATGTAAAAATGAGAAGTGAGAATTCAACAAATTAAAGCTATGTTAACAGAAATACCACAGAATACGATTTCAAATAGTTTTCAGAATGGAAACGGCATGATTACAAACAACAGAATGGTGCCTGCTCTGACTCTGCCCCTAGCTATACACAGACTCTTATAAAGGCCAACTACGACCAGGAAATTACTAGCCCGATATCTGAAGACCATTGAGGTTTTTGTAGTTGTTGTTGTTGTTTTTTTAAATTTCAAAACAAGACTCAATAATTATTTGTTCCAGGATTAGGCTAAATATTTTGTTACATTTCCTACCGGGAACCAGATTCTATGGACTTCTAACTGGGAAGGGACATAAACTCTAAATTCCCCCTTGGACAAAGTATCCATTATCAAAATAACTCTATTCCAACACACATCACATACACCAAATCTTCAGAAGTAAAAAAGAAATAAAATACCTTGGAAGTCCTCAGAATTAGGCAACTTGACACCACATACAAAATAATCCTTATGCTCATTCTGTGAATTTAATCAAAGAATGAAATTAATTCATTGTTCTAAAAAGCAAAGAAGCCACTAAGTCAAATCTAGAGTTCAGCAGGGCCGGTGTCACCGTCTGACATGCAGAGCAGCGTGGGAACCGCTTGGACTGAGCAGGACACACGGCAACTGTCACACCACTTTCCTGCATTTTGTTATGCTTGGCATGTTCATAGTAACAGCACATGTGCGTCCTCCAAAGAAAACGGCACGTGAAAGGAACCGTAAAATGTCTTCCTGCCAGGCATGGCGGAGCGTGTCTGTAATCCCAACGCTTGGGACAAAAAAGCAGGAAGACTCAAAGGTCATTCCTGGATGTATAGCATGCTTGAAGAAGCCTGAATTACATGATGGCCATTTTAAAAAATAAGAAAAAGAAACATTCTCACTAACTCATATCTACTGCATAAATAATAACAAGATTTCAAATTCTATTGTTTTTTTTCCTCTGAAACCTAGTCTATAAAATAGATTACCATTAACAACGACACTGTCAAATTTAGCAGACTTGGTTTTCTAAATAATAACCTTAATTAGTCTTATTTCACTATCATCTTTTATATTGACTTTTGAAAATCACAGTTACCTCCGCGATACCGTAACGAACACCACCAGTGCATATGGGCCACTTGGCAACCATGTTTCAGAGCGGAGCACACACATCAGAAGGCTTGTGTCGAAACGGTGGATAACTAGCTAAATGAAAAGGTGCTGAAGGATGACAAATCCTATCTGTCAATGTGATAAGCTGATATATAAAACAATCAAACTATGGAATCTGAGGCCAGCTGTGTGTGAGAGAGGGAGAGAGTCCAAAGGTCAGCTCTGGGAGGTGTTCCTCAAGATGGCCGTCTGTCAATAGGACCTGGGGATCGACAAGTGGGTAGACTGGCTGGCCGTTGAGTCTTAATGTTCTCCTAAACCATGAGAGAGCACATGGAACAATAGCTTGTCAGGAATTTGGAACTTACCAGATCAATGGGGTAAATGTAGGAGAGCTCAGAGAGTAGCTGCCTGCACCGGATCGTCAGCTGAGCGTTAGTCTTCAGAAAGAGTTCTCTAGTGGGGAAAAAGGAAAAGTATATTCGCTTATTTCTACCTAGTTAACACGGAGAGGATTAAATGGTCTGTTGTTGGCCAGAGGATTTCAGCAGTGGAGGCAAGAATGACAGACACCCCGAGTCCCGACCCATTTCCAACACTGCCAACTATGTTAACTTTCTGCGGTGGGCTACTGTGTGTGCCCAGCACTGTGTCAAGAGCTGTAAAGGACAACTGAACGCCCATGCCCTGAGCGCCCACCACTGCACACCAGGAGCACTGCAAATGTGTTTAATTATTCCACCGACCACAGTGGGCTATCACTACACTCACTCCTAATAAGGAAGCAAGATTCGGAGTAAACTTTTAATGACCAGTAACCTAGTGAAGCTGATTTGATTTCAGGATTTGATCTACATGGCATTTCCTTCAAAAAGAAAGGAAAGTTCCTTTCACGGCAGCACGTCATAGCTGTCTCAAGAAACACCCTGCTGGGATATAAGAAAAATAACAAAATAAACTAACAGCTGAGCAAAACCCCAAGGCATCAGACTTCGCAAATGTGGTCAACACAAAACATCCACGGACGATGTTTCCTGCCTGTCTTAAAACTCAGAAACAAAAGGCATTGAACAGAAACTGCAGGTGAGAGCAGAGGGGAGGCCGGGATGCTGCCAAGGGCCTCTGTATACTGGCTGGTGTGTGGACTTTGCTCCAATTTCTAGTCAAGAGCACCTAACTAGTCTGGAAGTTTCTGAATGATGATAATCTCATTAGGGTAATGAGTGAGATAGGGTAGACATCCCAAGTACACAGCTGGTCCACTACAAAGCCCAGGCAGTAGAGGGTTAGTTCTCAGCTGCACCCTCCCTCCTCCCATGAAGGTGCTGGATGGGCTGGAGAGCAATCCCTGCATCATTCCTGAAGGACACGGTCGGTGCGTTTCAGGTAGTGATGGACCTGGAGGACCGCAAGCCCAGCGAGAAGACGGAGCCTCCCCCACCTGGCTTCCTCCACCTGCCTGTTGACTTGTATCCTTGGCAACCCTTAAGATAAACTGGTAAACAGGGTTTCCCTGAGTCTGTGAGGCCCTGGAGTAAATTGCCAATAAACTGAACTGAAGGAGGAGTTTGTGGGAATCGCTATTTATAGCTGGCTGGTGGCAAACACGGGCCACCATCTGGAGTTTGTGAAGGTTATCACCTCACAAGTGTTAGTCTGGAGGAACTGTCAGGGGGTATCCAGGCAGCGCAAGAACTGAATTTAACCGTAAGACACACAATTCTGCCTGATGGGAAAACCTGGGGTCAAAAGTATCGTGAAGTCTCCTGTCTGAAGAGCCCTGAATACTTGATGGCTCTGCCAGCGAGCTGGACAGAGCGCTTCTCAGAGCCCAGCTTTCCTGTCTGTGCACTCGGGAATAGAACAGATATTCTCTCTTTTGTTGTAGGTCTAAAATTCTTGAATCCTACACTGCTAAAGTTCCTCAAAGGACACGACAGAACCTGCCACAGGAGTGAGAGAGGGGTTGGGAAAGCCCAGGGGTGACCCTGAGCTATGGGTGGGGGGCAGCTAGTGTGAGGGGAAAATAAAACCAACTACAGTGGTACAATGCCGGTTTGTCGAAGGGGATTTGAAAATTCAGCAAAGAATCACCACATTGGGAAGAGGAAAATACAGAACAAAAATGATATTTTAAGAGAAAAGCCCTAATAATAGCAGCATGGGGGGGAACGTAGTGGGGGAGGCTGGAAAGTTGGAGAGGCAGTGATTAGAGAAACATTCTAGGTATTGTTGAGGTAATCAAATGTAATACCAAGAAGCAGAAGTCTGAAGAAATCACTGAAGACAGCAAGCCAGCCAGCTGAAAGGGCATGGAAGGCGAGAGATGCCATGGTGGCAGTGCTGTGGCCTGGGTGTGGAGAAACCGTGTTCGTGGTTTAGGTGCTAGTGTACAGTCAGTACTCACAGATAGATATCTGTGGAGTTACTGAACGGGGTGCTGAGACACACAGACACACAGGATGTAAGTCAGTAGCAGCCTTTTAAGACGCAGCTATGCGTAATGTCCCTGTACCGTAACACTCAGAGGAGCCGTGCTCGGCTGCGTTTACCTTTTTGCGGTGCATTCCTTCCTCAGCTCGCCCAGGGATTCCTTCTGATGCTGGAGCTTGCCATGCTCAGTCGAAAACGCGCTTCCTACAGGGGCGAAGGACAGAGACAACAATGGCAAATGTAACACTGCGGACGTGATGCTCAGCCACATCCGCACACGCAGAGCTCAGCTCAGTCACATCTGCCCACACAGAGCTCAGCCACATGCGCAGGCACAGAGCTCGACCTCTGTCCTGGCTGTGAAGGGGTAGCGAGTTAACCGGCAAGGGGACATCGGTGCAGAGGGTTTTGAGATGGGTTAACCAGACAAACTGCTATGGGCTCAGTCGACAGTGGTCCAGTCTCTAGCAGAAGCCAAGCAGCAGGACTCAGACTCTGCCCATGGGGTTCTGGACATTGACCAAGAAACCTTTATGAGACTTTCAAACTTCAGACTTCACTCCTGAAAGACGGGGTAACTCATTTTCAACCACAAACTCGACATAACATTCTTGAGAATATAAAACGCAGGACAGGAAAGTTACCTGTATTTTGACTGCTACACTACAGTTCATATAAGCAGTTTTATGAACCTTCATCTTGCTTGTATATATTTTAGTGAAAATCACAGGGCACAGGAAATGTGCATTATGTCACAAGCGTTTTTACATGGTGACAGCCTGAGGTTATGGCTGTATAAAAACTCACGATTATACATTTTTATCTCACAGGTTCATACTTGAATCCTATTACAAAACATTTCATTTCCTCTCGGTACTTGCTTTAGTACGTTAATGACTGGTGTGGGTTCATATGCCTGAATTCTGTGACTATATGGAGTGTCTGAAGCTCAGTTTTGTGATAATAAAATCCTTTCCCATCCTCCACTCTGAGAAAATGAGCGCTGGTATTCTTGACAGCCCAGGCCTGATTACATCTCCAGAGGTCCTCTGGCAGAGAGACACTGTAAAATCCTGACACACTAAAGCTGTGCATTTGTCAAAGGACTTTGCTTCATCAACTGTGATGCGGCAAGAAGAGCGACTGGAGTCTTCTGCACGCCTGCCCACCTAGGGAAGATCAGAGAACAGGCCGACTTGGACCTTAGCACAAAATCCACACTTAAGAAGTTTTTGTTTGTTAATTTAACCAAGGACTCCAGTCATGCTAGACAAATGCTGGATCACAAAACCAAACCCCTGGCCCTAAGCAATTTATACCCAAGGGTTCTGTAAGCTCCTTTTTCTTCTCTTTCAACTACAAAGACGATAAATGGAAGACTAAGTAAGACCCCAAACTTAAGGAACCCCACTCATCTTCAGAAGCTAAATATCCTTCCTGAAACTTTCATCTGAATGATTTTAGACGACATTAGGTTCACACTCACCACCCACATGTTAATGACCAGTGGCCCTAGATTCAGACAGAGAAACGACATTAGGTTCACACTCACCACCCACATGTTAATGATCAGTGGCCCTAGATTCAGACAGAGGACTCTGCACCCTTGCTGCGGTGCCGTTGCTGTCCCATCGCTGCTCTACTGCATAGGACCTGTAGTGACGCCTGGCTCCTGATGCTGGTTACCTGTGCCTTCGCTCTTTGTACTTTGTTGTTCTGGCTACTAGCTGATAAGATAATCAACTAATTAACTGAGACAGGGTCTCACTGTGTTGTGTTGAACTCACAGAGATCCTCCTGCCTCTGCCTCCTATGTGCTAGGATTAAAGGTGTGCATCACTATTCCCAGCCCCAGTTTAAATATTCTAACAACCTCTCCAAATAACTGACTTGTAGTTTCGCTGACACGCGGTGCTCACTTTCTGCTTGTGGATTTGTCCTTTACCAGTGCCTTCCCTCGGTCTAAAATGGGCTCAGCTTGTCTTCCTTCTGCCTGCTTAGGTTACTGATTTGAGGCCTTTCCTTTTCTTTTTAAATAGAGGTGTCAGATTTTCCTCTAAGCTTTTTTGTTATTTTACGTATTCCTTTAACATTCATGTTTTATCTTCACTCAGTTCAAAACGCTCCTTGATTTGCCTCAGCATTTCTTCTTTTTGACCCGTGGCTTGTAATACATGCATTGCATAATTCCTAAATTTTTAGAATTTTCCCGATCTTTCTGACAGCAATTTCTAATTTATTTTTACTTTGCTGAGAAAACTACTCTGTGATTTTAATAATCTTATATTTGTGTCTTTCTTAGTACCAGATAATATATTTAGATTTTTTGGTTGATATGACAAAAAACACAAAGCCAGTGTGCTTGTATTCAAGAGAAATAGTTCTGCTGGGTTAATGATTCCTGGAGAGATGGGAATAAACATCTCCTTACCCCAGACAGGACAACAAAGACAGACCAAACAAAGGATTTTACAGAAGTCTAGTTTGGGGTGACTTACAGAAGCACAGGCAACTTCTGTGCAGACACACCACTCAAGAAAATGTCTCGCTCCTCCAACAACCATTAAAGGGTTACATCCTTAGGAAGGGGCGGGGCCTCCTGTGACAAGGACACTGGCTCTCTGGAAAGTCCCAGCTGTTCTGACTCCACAGAACATGCCCAGAGAACAGAGTTCCACAACAGGAATGGTAAGGTCGTTTATTTTGACCCATTTTCTCCCTGTGTTCAATCAGTAACTCAAAGATGTGTTTCACTTTCTAACTTCAATTATGCCCACTCGTTTGTCTTTCGGGAACACGAGGGTTTTATCTGTCCCTGGAACTGCAGGGTTTTTGGCTCTTCTCCTAAGGGCGCACAGCTGCTGTTCATACAAAGGGATTATGCTGTTACTACGAGAACAGTCTTCATTTTCCAGCCACGTCCTCAGTCTTCCTGTGACTATCACACAAGCCCACACCCAGCCATGAACAATGGATAAAAGCTTCAGCTGAGTTCTCTAACTCTCTTCTACAGAGCCCCCGATGTCTCCAGTGTCCTGCTCATGTCTCTGAACACACCTGGATTTCAGCTGCCTGCGACTGTAGTGCTCTGATGATGTAAGGAAAGCAGTGACTTTGAGCATTATCTCCTTTTTTGTTGGCTTAGACATCAAACTCCTCTCTTCTGTTCTAGGCTGGCACAGGGTGGCCCCGCCCTGAGTACAGCCGTCTTTCCTGTGTTACTTTGGTGCTGTCCTGCTTCCTCTGAGTCCACAGTCACTTCACCTCCACTCTACCTGTCCAGTATTCAAATGCTTATTCCATTGAACCAAACAAGGTCAAGAATTCATTATATATGGAAAGCAGTGAAAATAAATTGTTATCAAACGTTCCTTCCACAGGCCCCCCTCCCTTCTACTGCCCTTCCTAGCTCCTGCTGATTATACCTGGGAACTGCAAGTTTAAAATCCCAGAGGGCTCTCTGCCAGGAAGCTAGAAAGCAGCCTTCCCACCTCTGTCTGGGTATCACTTTTCCTCTACTTTATTTATCCAAATAGACTTCTCTATGCTGGATCTTTGAGGACTGTGTTGTTCTCATCATGGCTATGGACTTATCCCTTATGTCTCTATCACTTCTATCAATGGGTGTTTGGGAGAGAATGAAAAAAATGATTCATTTGCCATTCCCCAAACCACCTTCAGAACCGTCTCCCCATCTAGGCGTAAACCAATGTTCCACCCTGCGGAGATGGAGTCTCTGTGCAATGGAACACAGGCAAGCGCTATACTTTTAACAACCAAATGTCACTGTTGGTGCCTATAAATTTGACAGCCAAAGAATATGAACATTGCTTCCATCAAGAAAACAAAACACAGCTTCTTCAGGCTTTCCTTCGTCCAGAGAATTTGGTCTCAGACTGGCCACTGGCCAGCTCCTGTCAAAGTTAGAGTTAAAACCAATAAACTATCATTTGAGTTTTACATATGATGTCAGATGACTAAAATCAATATTCTCGGACTGCGAAAGTTCTCTCCCCACCAGGCCGTATTTTCTGTACCAGAGTTAGGATGCTGTCCTGTTCATAGATTAAAATTTCCTGCCTCTAAGGGACTGCTTCCTTGTAGCGGGGACGGGAAGCAACTGGTGGCTTCTGTACTTCTACACAACTGTTCTGACTGATGCGGGCAGCACTCACTTTACGTTTTAGATCGGAAGCTTTGACTTTGGGGTTTTGACTATTTGGAGAGCCCACATGATACATCTAGCTAGAATATTACCTATGCTACACTCAAGCCTCTAGACAAGTCTGGACTTTGTCTAGGCTAAACAGCCAGCACAAGCTTTCAGAGTGCTGGAATTACAAATATCACCACTCACCCAGCAAAGTCTTAAATAGGGATGGTTTCACTTTCCCCAACATTTGGACGCTCTGTGCGTACCCCATGAAGGCCCAAGGGGGTAAGCAAAGCTACAGAGCTCGCTTGAAATATTGCCTAAAATAACCACAAAGCACAAGGAGGTGCCTTGCCTAGCAAGCCTAGCTTGGTTCTCTGTTTTGCTTTCAGTCCCTGTAATTCTCAAGCTTTTCTTCCCTAGCTCCAATAACTGGATAGTGACCTCACCTCACGGGCTAGAGAAACACCAGGATATTGTGGAATTCTGGAATCAGTAATACGTAAGCAAGCTGCCCATGCTGTGATTTTCTCAGCTTTGTCTCATTCATGGAAAAAGGAGATACTTCCAAGTCAACTCTGAACTCCTTTAAATTCAACTCCACCTCACACCAACACATCACTGGGTTCCACCTCACACCAATGCATCACTGTGCTCCTTCTACTAATGGTATCTGAGTGACTGAACCAGCGTGCTCACACTGCACCCACACACGTCATACCGAGCTTGTCTTGTCTCCTTGCATGCCTCGTGATCACTATTTTACTTCAACACTAAACTATCTCATTACAATGTGTTATTACTAAGTGGCACTTCCTGAAATTTGGGGGGAGCAAGTGGAAAAACTAGTAAGCCAAAATATAATTCTGCCAGGTGTTTTATTTCTTTATAAAAGTATCTATTTAAGACAACATCAGAATAAATTGCCATAAGTATATTTAATAGTCTTGAAAGTAAGACCTGAAGCTTGCTTTGTGCCTGTGATGTGTCTTCTTCACTCTCCATCCAGAAGCTGTCTGGTTTCTATTGCCTCTTGGAAGCTGCATACAACACAAACAGTCCCAAGGAAGACGATGCTAAGTCGGGCATTGGGAGCTGGCAAGATAGCGCCATGGGAAAATGCACTTGCTTCACAAGTCTCAAGACCTGCCTGTTTTTTTTTTTTTTTTTTTTTTTTTTTAAGATTTATTTATTAAATACAAGTGTTCTGCTTGCATATACACCTGCATGACAGAAGAAGGCACCAGATTTCAGTACAGATGGTTGTGAGCCACCATGTGGTTGCTGGGAATAGAACTCAGGACGTCTGGAGGAACAGTCACTGCTCTTAACCTCTGAGCCATCTCTCCAGCCCCAACCTGCCTGAGTTTGATTCATGAAACTCATGAAAAGAGCTGTATGTGGAGGCAGGCATTTGTAATCCTAGCACTCCTTGGCTGACAGGAGGATCACATTATCAGTACTACTGGCAGCACACCTGTGAGGCACTCAGGTTCGATCCCAACCACCCTGGGAAAAAGCAGCCACCTCCTACAAATACTGGAGAACTACACTCTTGCAAAACATCTACTCGTAAGAGATCTGAACACCTTTCCTTTAAGAACAGGGTTCCCAGCAGCCCGACTTTGATAAAATGTTGGATCTGTAAAGATATATGGACTGAGCCAGACAAGAGACCTTGCCAGCAACATAGTTACTGGGAGAATTACTTGGCTTGACACCCTAACAGGGAAACCAACTACTGATATCTTTCTGAAATAAATAAATATGGACATTAACAAACATCAATTTTGAAGGGATCTATTCACGGCTCAGCTGAAAGCTGCTGCGGGCAAGTTGAGAAGCACTGCCTTCGAGGTGCAGGGAGAGAAAACTTCTAGGTGGGGCTAATTAGGCCCTCAGGAGTTAGAATCACTTGGCAAGCCAACAGCAGGAACAGAAACTCTATTTCTTCTCTTTCTATCATCTTGCAATGGATTTTTATCACCAAAAGCAGGCAGATAGAACAGGAACTTGGTGTGTTCAAATCGTCCACACAAGTGAATCTCCATGGCTCTGTTCTATGTGGCAATGTACTGAACAGAAGATGCAGAAGTAATTCCTTTAGGGCTATCAGAAGAATAAGCAGCAAAATCAAGGTCAAATATCAAACATTCCTGACCTTGTCCCCTCACCAGGCTCTCAGGCTCAGACTTGTATGTGTCTGCCTACCAAGTATGGCCTTGGTGAGCAAGAGTAACCCCAAAGTTTATCAAGTCTTGGTCACTGTCTGTACCCAGCTATAGTCCAGCGCTTTACTGTATTTACCATAGGATCGACATTAGATCCTAACTTCCTGATGCCTCGGTGTTAAAACCAACAGGTCTGGTGCATCGTGACAAAGACTCGTCATTCTTTCTTTGTAGGATCCATCTGCCTCTGCCTCTTGAATGCTGGGAATAAAGGCTTGAGTCACCACTGCCCAAGTAAACTGAATCATTGAAAATTATTTTATTATTTGGTATGCATAGGTATTTTGCCTGCATGTATGTCGGTGTATAACATGTGTGCCTGACCATGAAGGTCAGAAGTGGGTGTTGAATCCCCCGGAACGGAATTATGGATGGTTGTGAATCGCTCTGTGGGTGCTGAGAACCAAACCCAGGTCCTCTGAAAGAGCAGTCAATGCTCTTAATCACTGAGTCATCTCTTCTGTCAAAATTTCTTTTGAACATAATATAAAAATCAGTATCACCTTAAAGAAACGCCAATTATAAATACCATCAGCAAATAGGAAATAAAAATCAAACAGAACCACACTAGTCTTATAAGGCACAGAGAACAGGATTAACTTCAGTTACAGAGACCCAGCATTACAGTATGTTGTGAAGAAGATCTAACAAACAATGGCATATGGGGTTTCTTGGGGTGGTAGACAAAACCTTGAGATTCCATTTCCCACAATTCTCCATATAATATAATCCAGCCCCATTAAACTCCTAGCAAGGCTTTCTGTTTTGTCTAGAAATTCATATGAAAATGCAAACAACCAAGATGATTTGGAAGGAAAACAACTAAATTGAAGAACTTCAACAAACAACAAACACCAGGAAAATGAAAATCTACAGAAGTGAAAGGTATTAGAATGGGCTGGAGCGGAGGGTCCTGCACAGATGACCCTGACCTAACTCACACCAACGTGAACGGGGTGCACAGTGGGTCTCCAAGGAACAGAACGCTAATATTAACCATGGGCACACAACCGATTCCAGACGAGCTGATGCTGTGAATGTGAACAGTAAAACCGTAGAGTTCTGAAGAACACACAGAAGGCCAGTGTTTCTTAAACCAGGCCCCAAAGCCTCAAACATAGACTGGAAGAATGAATGAGGCCGTGAGCTAAGGGTGGGGACCATGCTCCAGCTGAGCATGCCAAAGACAGTCCCTTCATCCATAAAGAACAGCCAAAAGACATCAACTGACACCTTACCAAAGACTCATCTAAAGTGTGTACAATAGCACTGCGAGAACGGAACCCAGAACTTCAAGGGCAAACCCTACACACCGCGCGAAGACCAAATGTGGCAAAAGGGCAAAGATGGAGTCAGGCAAATAAAAAGCTCTTTTGGAAAAGCTTTAAACACCATTTACTAGAGCTGAAGGGAGGTAGCCACACTCCAATCCCGTGATTTACTCCTTGGTTTCTAGCCAACTGAAATGCACTTTTATCTCCATTAAGAAACACGCGCTAGAACACACGTGGAAGGGCTAATTATAATAGTCTCAAACTGGAGACTACCAACAGTGAAAACAAATAAATAAATAAATATATATTTGCATAATGGCTTCAAGAGTCAATTATAGTTACAGGAAGGCAAGGATGACTCGAACAAACATGTTAAAAAGCTAGCACACAAGGGTGTACATATGATTTCTATAAAGTGTATAATTAGGTAAAACCAGTCTCTGGTCTCATAAGTGAAGGTACCTGGTTAGTGTGGTTGGAATTGTGGAGGATGGCGGGAAGCACCAGAGCATGCCAAAGGATCACCAGTCTTTAGTAACGGCTATATATAAAGATTGGTACGTGAACTGGGCAGGGGTAGCACCTGCCAAGATGTGTATTTGAACCAATGGAAAGAAGGAACACGGAGCACAGAGGGAGGCTACTCACCCGTGTCCTGGAGAGCCACTTGCTGCTTCTGCAGGAAGGCCACCTCCCGGCCCAGGGCTTTCTTCTGTCTTTCCAGTTCATTTCGAAGCACCAAAATTTTTAACCGCAGACATTCGCTTTCTTTTTTCTAGGTAAGTAAAATCACAGGAAAATTTATGAATATAAAGAAGGTCACAGCTATAACTGTACATCCACCATGCTTCAAACCAACAGCGGCCAAATACTCATTAACCTAAAGATCTTTGTGTAATTATCAGCAGCCATGACTAAAGACAGAAGTAAGGAAGCACAAGTAGAAACGAACCTTGTCTAGGAACTCAAATCTCTAGCGGAAGTAAGAAGCAGGGGGAACATTAACAGTGTCAGGTGAACACGAGCTGGATGCCCAAGCAGACAAAGATCACACAAAATACCAGGCAGTCAAATCTAATGGCATAACAGAATGATGCATCACAGTCAAATGACATTCATTCCAGAGATGCAGGCTGGTTGTCAAACACATCACAATAGCAAGCTAAGGAAGAACGGCATCTGATATCAATGTGTACAGATAATAAAGGTAGACGTTAAAGACATACAACAAAACACACCACTTGGCTGGGCGGTGGTGGCGCACGCCTTTAATCCAAACACTTGGGAGGCAGAGGCAGGAGGATATCTGTGAGTTTGAGGCCAGCCTGGTCTACAGAGAGAATTCTAGGACAGGCTCCAAATCTACACAGAGAAACCCTGTCTCGAAAAAAACAAAACCAACCAAACAAACAAACCACACTACTTATGAATGATATAAAGACACAAAAGTTTCAGGAACAAAGAACAGTGGAAACACCTTTAGCTGGTTCCTTACATCGCACTTAGTGGTAAGAACTAAGCCCTCTCCCCTAGGTTTAAAAACAGATGAGAAGTTACTTTACTGCACCATGGCAACAAGAAAGGAGCCCAGCGGTACTGGACCACGCTTTTAATCCCAGCACTCAGGGGGCAAAGGCAGGAGGATCTCTGTGAATTCAAGATCCCAGTAACCACGTGGGTGGCTCATAACCATCAATAATGAGATCTGATGCCTTCTTCTTCTGGCCTGAAGGTATGCATGCTGGCAGAATACTGTATACTTAATAAATAAATCTTTAAAATATATATGAACTAAAAAAGAAAGGAAGGGAGGGAAGGAAAGAGAGAGGGAGAGAGAGATAAACTGGCTCAGAGCCTAAGGCGCTGGCTGCTAAGCCTCGCGACAGGTGCTCAACTCCTGAAACTCACATGGAAGGAGAGAATTCACTCCACAAACCTGTTTGGCCGCCATGTGAGTACCATGGCACATGAACAAACAAACAAATAAATGAATGGATTTTTTTTTAAATCACTGAGATTAGAAATGTTTTATAATTGAAATTAAAGAATTATTTGGGGGGAAAAAAAGGAGCCCAGTAGGGTTTTCTTTAGTGATCAGAAGTCTTGGGTCTTCTGACATCACTGAGGGGAAAATAAATAAACTCTTCAGTGATTATTACTTGGGCAGAGAGAGAAAGAGGGGGGAAAATTTTTTTAAGTAAACACGACGTGGCTAGTGGAGGTAACTTGCTCTGTTCCCGGGTGCACACTCAAACTGGGAATGTTTTCTTTTTTCAAAGCACAAAACTTACAAGTTAACGTAAATACAAAGTTAACATGGGGAGACGTGAGCACAGCGTGTTTGTGCTATGGCCCATGTGAGGATGCTGGCCCACTTACAGAAGAAAGAGATCCATTAGCTCAAACCAGGACTGCTGGCTCCCGTTTCTGAGGAGTAAACAAACCCTGCCCGTGTGCATGGCTCTGCTTCCTTGTTCATACTTCAAAGGCGAGCTGATTGCAGCTCTTAGCACAACGTAAGTACCTCCTACCGGGGGCTGCGCTCCACTCAGCTCTGCCGTGCACGTACAGCTCATGTCACACATCCACCCCGATGATCTATCACCTTTAATTAGACTTCATTCACCTCTCAGAAATCACAGACATGCAAATTTGCAAGCACACATTCCTACTTAACGGGTCTTTAAAAGAAAAGCATGGGAAACATTAAACAATCATTTAAAAATGGCAGCTTGATCTATAAATAATATATTAAACACAAACAAGTACTTTCTCATAGATCACACCGGAGCTGAAACTCCTCAGACATAAGTTCCGAAACGACCGTCTCGGGACTATGAAGGTTTCAAACATGAAGTCATGCTGAGCGGTTGGGCCCCTTCCATGGTCATGTTCCTCCGTGTACGGCGCACGTGAACGTCTACTTGGGTGCTGCAAAGGACTCACTAACCAAACTGTGATATGTATTTGTGTGTTTGTGCGTGTGTGTGCACAAGCCAGAGCACCCGTGTCACGGTCAGAGAACACGTTGGGAGTCAGCTCTCTCCCTGCCATCTCTGAACTCGGCTCGTCGGGCGTCGGCGTGGTGGCCTGTTGGGCGTGGTGGCCTGTTGGGCGTGGTGGCCTGTTGGGCGTGGTGGCCTGTTGGGCGTGGTGGCTCGTCGCGTGGGGGCCTGTGCCTTCACCCAGTGAGCCATCTCATCATCTCTTCTTATTAGCAAGAACTCAGTTTGATAAAGATGCAGTCAAAAAAACAAAACAAAACAAAACAAAAACTCCCCTTTTCTATTTTAAGAAAAAGCACTAATTTCTCATAAAAACTGCAATACTAACATAGATTTGCTACTGGCACTTTAAAATTAATTAGAAAAATCTTTTTAATTTCCCAGATTTGACTTCTAACATAATTAATAGTACAGCCTAAATTCTTAGAGATTATCACAATTAACATATTTAAGGATCCTAAGAGCAAAACATTTGAGAAATTAGTGATTAGAGCATGTTTTATCTTATCCGTAGTCAGCGCCAGCAACTGGAAGTAATTAACAATCTAGAAAATGTCTCAGAACTGTGGAAGTTAACAAATTGCTTCCAAATGTCACTTATGGGTTGTTTTTCTTCCATCTACGTGTGGCCAATCATTAAAAGAGAATGCTTCCTCAGAAAATATTTAACCCAATTTATTAATTCCATATCTCAGTAGCATTATCAGTCCAAGAACTCAGGTATGGGCAGAAGATTAAATTATGATAAGAGTTGAGTTTCTAAATAAGAATAAACGCCTACAAACTAGTCTTGTAATGAATCGAATGTATGAAGAAACTGCACATTTCTTGAGCGGTCCAGGGCATGCTGCTCTGAAGAGTCCACATTGGATTAGGCACACGGCACACGCAGGCAAGTCTCCCTCTTTATTCTGTGGCTTTGCCCTGAAAGCCCTGGAAGTGGCTCTAGAGGCCAGCAGGAAGCCACTGTCTATGCCGGGAGGAACCAGAAATGACGCAGGATGCCAGAATTGGAGAAGACAGCAAATAGGTACCCCAAATTCTGTTCAAATCAATCAACTCTCAGACTGAACCCAAAGGCACACGTGTGTAGATGAATACAAAATTGCTCATGGTCGAGAGTGAAAAATGAAGCTGGAATGAGAGCCATGCAGGCTGGAGGCACGGCAGTTTGAGTTCAAGAGAGTGGACCACGCGCTAAAATACATCCCCCAAAGCCAAGTCTCCCAGTCTCCAGATCACACTCAGAAGGTCCGGGGTGGTGTGCAATATCGCTCAGTCCATGAAGGGTCAGAGAATGCGACTCACTCTCTAGGACAGTATGGGCGACCACAAGCCAGCAAAGGTGTTGGAAGGACCAGATAAACACTGAAGGCCACTCAGGAATACGCTCAGATGGAAAGCAAACCACTCTAAATCTAGTGGAGAGCTAGACATTAGTGAGAGGTCTAGGAGGTTTCTGTATCTGGTCAAGATGTGACTGGGGACAACAGGAAAATCAGCTGTGGCTATGCAAGGCTGCCCTACCCTGTACCAAAGCCTAACTGCGCCTCAGTGTCCCCAGATCAAACCTAACATGACACAAAACGGCCACAAACTGCCATCAGTTCCGGGCTACTTTGGAAATGCAAAAGTAATATGTGCTTGTATGAGGGCTTAGATTCAAGCAACAGTATTGCAAAAAATATTAAAATTTGAAGCCAAGACAATGTAGCTTGCTCTATTAAAAGCCATGATTGCTTCATCAAATGCAGAAAACCATGTAAGCCATTCATGAGTTAAACTGGGAAGATAAATCCTGAGTCAGTGCAGACCATTGCTGATGTTAGACCTGATGAAGCAAGAACAGCATTCTTCTCACACCAGGCATGGGTGCTGCATTTAACGGGAGCAGGGCCTGACTTCCTCCTCTAGCCGGGCTCTCTGGGGTGCACTCCCACACCTGGCTGAACCTGCCATGCTGCCTTGAGCTTGCCCGAACTCTAGCAAAGGAGGCTGAAGATATGATTGAGAGAATTAAAGGAAGTCTGCATAAAACATAAATGTCACATTCACAGGCTGGGGACCTCCACATTGTTCAGAGGGAAACTTCACAAATCCTTGTGAAAATTCCAACAGGCTCTCTGGTAAAAAAAACTGAAAAACTAGCTATAAAATGCATTCAGCAAAATAAAGAACTGTGTGTGTGTGTGTGTGTGTGTGTGTGTGTGAGAGAGAGAGAGAGAGAGAGAGAGAGAGAGAGAGAGAGAGAGAGAGAGAGAGAGAGAGAGTGTGTGTGTGTGTGTGAGTATTTGCCCTGCCTGGCTTTTCTGATGAACCTACAGTCATGGCAGCTCGGTGCTGAGGAAGATAGGCCAACAGGTCCATGAGACAGAGACGAAACAGATGCACACGCACACGCATGTGGTCAGCTGACTTTAGACAAACAAGTCAGGGTAATTAATGGGGGAGGAAAAGCTGCTCACCAAGTACTGTTCTGTCAGCCGAACATCAGTTTGGGAGAATGTTTTACTCTTTCTTCATTAAGTTAAAAATAATAACTTGAAATGGATCACAGATCTAAACACAAAGCTCAAACTCTAAAACTTCTGTAATCTTGAATTACACAAAAGATTCTTATAAAAACCAGAGGAAAGACATAAAACATAAAAAAAAATACATCAGACGACTCATTTGGAAAAGTGTTCGCCGTGCAAACACAAATGCTTGAGTTCAACCCCCTGAACTCATGTGAAACCCAGACCAAAGCTGGGCATGAGGACCAGCACTAGCCTGCAGCAGCAGCGCTCGGAGGGCAGAGGCAGGTGAGCTCTGTGAGTCTGAGGCCAGCCTGCCCTACAGAGCAGTTTCAGGACAGCCAGGGCTACACTGTGTCAAAACCAAAAAACCCAAACCAAGGTCCAGGCTCCTGAACCTGAGAGGGTTCTCTGGCTTCCACTGCGCATCCAACACACACGTAGATAGACACACACACACACACACACACACTCACGCACACACATACACAAACATACAAATACAGTAGATTTCATTCAACTTTAAGAACAACAACAAAGCGCAGGCTGGAGAGACGGCTCCATAGTTAAGAATGCTTCCTGCTCTTGCAGAGGACCTGGGTTAGGTTCCTGGTACCCATACATCAGATGGTTCACAACTACCTGGAACTTCAGTCCCGGGGATCCAAAGCCCCTTCCTGACCTCCAGTGGCACCAGACATGTATGTGGTGTGTACACACACACACACACACACACACACACACACACACAAAACATTCATATCTAAAGGAAAAAATAAATAATCTTTAAAACAAATTGTTTTCTTAAAAGAAAAAATGCAAGCCTCAGACTTAAAGAACATTATCCTGAAATACCTATCAGGAAATGAACTTATATATAGGAATAAATATACGTCACATATATTACTAATAAGCACTGGAAAGACAGCTCAGCACTCAGTGCTGGCTGCTCTTCCGGAAGACCCAAGGTTGATTCTCTACATTCACATGGTGGGTCACAGTTTTATGTAACTCCAATTCTATGGATCTCATGCCTTCTTCCGTTTTCCATGCAGTGTGTAGACATGTGCAGGCGAAAAACATTTAGAAATAAATAAACAAACAAAACCCTCCAAGTAAGGCTGAAAAAAATTCTAATTAAAATTTGAAAAGAGTATTGCATGTCTTCTCTCATCAGCAAAAGCCAAAAATAAAAACAATGAAGCAGATGCCCTAAAGAAGTACAAAGGTGGGGGGGACTAGGGGGGCATTTGGGAGGGCAGATATGATGAAAGCATGATACATGTATATGTGGAAATGTCACCGTGAAGCCCATTAATATAGAGATCTAATACACATTAGTAATTAAAATAACAAAACAAATGGAAAAGGAAATCGGAACTGCTTTACACATATGCCAAGACTTAACAGATAAATACATTGTACTTAATGAGAGCCAGGTTTCTCACTATCAGAAAAAGATACTGCAAATAAACAAAATGAAGGAGAAAGCCAGAATAAACTCTGTGGCATTAGAATTAAAAACATTATTATGAACTCATGTTTATTTTCCTAGAGATAGGTATACATTCATACAGAGATAGCCACATCCACTGAGAGAGCTTTAAAAGCAAGAAGCACACCCAGTGACCAGATTTCGTTTCTAAATACCGTCAGCCAACCTAAAGAGAGATGGCTGATGCCAGGGCTAAGACAGGGCAAACACAGAGGAAAGAACACCAAATGATGGCAAAAGAGGCAAAAGTAAACCTGGAAGAGTATTTATCATTTATCTATCTCAGGCTGGCCTTGAATTCACTAAGTGGCGTAGGCCTGCAACTGTACACACATACATTCATCACCCCCAACACAGAAGAGATATTAAGAAAAACAAAATACAGACCAATATTCCCCCTGAAAATAAAAGAAAAACATTCTCTAAATTTTTAAACAAATTGAACACAGTAAAAGGCTAAAAATAATTTATTATGACCATGAGGATATCCCCCAGGAATACAAAGTAGGGCTAACATTTTAAACTCAACCAATGTGCTCTAGCATAGAGCCACAACAAAACAAAACACTTAGAAGACATACAGTCACCGCAACAAAAGCAGCTAACAAACTCCAGACACAATGTCAAAGGCCACCATGGTGGTGACAGACATTCCCTAGGAAATACAATTAAAGTCAGCGTTCACACTCGGCATGGACGTAAGGTGAGAAATTTCCAAATCTCTGCAAGGTATCAACTGTAAACTCTGTATCTTACTTAAGGCTAATTGGGAAGAGGTTTGAAAAGGATGACTGGTTGATTTCAGCATCAAATACGCCTTTCACTGTGCCTCCGCTTGGGCTAGAGTGAAGAGTGAGTCTTATGTACTGAAAATAGTTGGGATGGAGCAAAAGGACGTGGACCAATTTACAAAGGGAGGTAACTGTATTTCTCCTGTGCCACGAGTAAACTGGTTTATAACAAGGCACTGTGTTGAATGCATTCCTTTTCTATTTTAACTTTTATTGATGTATATGTCTGAGTGTCACTGTGTGTATGTATGCCACATATACAAGTATGTACAAGCACGTGGAGGCGGGAAGAGGGTATCAGTCCCCTAGAGCTTGAGTTATAGAGTTGTGAGTCTCCCCATGTGGCAGCTGGGGGTTGAACCTGGAAGAGAATCAAGCACTCTAACTGATGAGCCTAATGGATCCGTTCTTAAATTCAATAAACACTTAATACTTGCTTCACATTTACCACGAGCAAACATTTGCCTAGATTCTGGGAATCAAATGTGAGGGGAGGTTGGGTACAAAGGAGGAGGGAAGGAGGGAGAAAGGGAAGGAGGGAGGGAAAGAAACTGAAGGAAGAGGGAAGGAGGGAGAGAGGGAAGGAAGGAAGGAGGGAGGGAAAGAAACTGAAGGAAGAGGGAAGCAGGAGGGGGTGATCCTAAGCCTCACAGAGTTTAGAGAGACAAAAACATATTAAATAGATATCATGCTACATGGTAATAAATATCACAGAGAAAAACCACGCAGGGGAGGGAACTGTACTGGGGTGTGATTTTCAGTGGGGTTATTAGGGGACTAGGTGGCTTCTAGGTTCACTTCCAGTTCAAAACTCCCTTGACTTCCTTCTGTGCAAACTCGGCAGCGTAAAAACACGGAGTGACCCTGTGAACCTGACTTGGTGAACGCGCACATTCTATCACCCTGCCCCGTGTGTCACCACTTATATTTTAGAAAAACAGGATTAAGCATACATGTTTCCACACTGAGACAAAGCACACGCCACCTCTCAATGACGCAAGTCGTTTCCCAGTCTTGCCTGGGAGAGAAAAGTAAGAAAAATAAGACCCAGCAAGTTCTCCCCAGGCAAGGGTCTTAAAAATGCAGTTTTTGTGCAGTGCAGAAAGGATTAAAACCTGATACTTTTTCCTCCCCTTACAATATACTCATGGCCTGGAATTTAGTCTTTTATTGATCCTAAGTTATAACACAAGAGACAGTTGTTTCTCTAGCATGGAGGAATTCCCACAGGCAAAGAAGAAACAAGCAGCTAGTAGTTATGTGGGGACCACCAGACACCTGCTGTGTGTCAGGCACAGCACAAGTGCATGTATGGACAGCCAATATCAGTAAATTCCCACAGACTGAACATACACTATTAGCTCAATTCCCAGGAGAGAGAATTGCATAGGTGTCTGAACACAAGCTCCCCGCCTAACTCCACGGACACGTGACTGTGTGGTCCGAGGAGAGAGAACTGCATAGGTGCCTGCACACACCCCCGTAACTCCATGGATACGTGACTGTGTGGTCCTAGGAGAGAGAACTGCATAGGTGCCTGCACACACGCCCCCTGACTTCATGGCCAGTTGTGGGTTCTGAGTGTCTTTGTAACCCTGGCACATAAAAACTGCAGAGAGTCACATGGCTTCATTTGAAGCAAAGTGCAACTTAGTGCTCACACTGGGCTCACAGAGACAGAGGTCTCCCCCTCCTGAGGCAGAGTATAAAACAGTATCAGACTTTATGAACATCTGCAATCCGCCCAGCTGGACTGAGGTTATGATTTCTTTGGAATGCCACACCAAACCCACATTTCTCTAAAGGTAAACATTGCTCACAAACGGGTCTCGCTGGTTGGTGGTGGCACACGCCTTTAATCCCAGCACTTGGGAAGCAGAGTCAGGTGGATCTCTGTGAGTTTGAGGACAGCCTGGTCTACAAGAGCTAGTTCCAGGACAGGCTCTAAAGCTACAGAGAAACCTTGTCTCGAAAAACCAAAACCCAGAAGCAAACAAACAAACAAAAATGCACAAATGGGTCTCTTATATTTGATCCCATTAATTTAAAGATCCCATCTTTTAAAAGTGGATTAATCCTGGGTGAATATAATCAAAGTACAAATTAAATTTTAAGAAACTGTCTCCACTTTAAACACAGCATTATGCATATATACCACTGAAATGGGTTTTCGTGTTTATTTATTTAGTATTTGTGAGTGCGTGTGTCATGGGAGTCAGAGGACACTGTGTAGGAATGGACTCCCAAGGACCACACTCGAGTCGCTGGGCTTGGGGGCAGGTTTCTTAGTGGCTGAGCCACAGGCATAGACCCAAACGCTTACTTTCGGTAAACGAGTCCCTGATGGTCCCCCACCCCGTCCTGGCAGCTATTTTTCACTCACTATACAGTTCGTGTTTAGAGTTCACATTTATAAGACGTTAATAAAATAGTCTGCTAGTCATCCTCCAAGTAATTATACATAATCTCAAGTTTCATCTAACAGAACATGGCAGGTTTACCTTACGCTATTAGCAGATGGGAACTTTTATTTCTAACATTTAAAATACACCAGCAGTCATCTCAACGCAACATTATTAGCGTCGTTGTTAGCACTGTCTAGAGATTTTTCCCAAGAATAATATGATAATCACTTGAAGAAAACAAGGAGTTTGAACAGGTACTTGTGTAAAAACCTACCAGCTCATTGCTTGTCGATGTGAGTCTTAGTTTTTCTTCAATTTCCTTTCCAATTCTCTGAACAGTTACCTGAGTCTGTTTAATTGCACACTGGGCTCTATGAAGCCTAGAAATACAAGTGGTAGAAAAATGTAAGTGAGGTAATTACAAAGTCTAAACACAGAGAGTCACAGACATGAATTATAAATCTCCTAGGATAAATAGAATCAATCCTGAACAAACCAATTATTTTTAGATTCAAACATATAATGAAGCAACAGGAATTATAAGTCCTAAAATAACAGTGCTCTGAAAGTCTACCTCTCTGCTACAACATAGTTAGGGCAAAGGACTCCAGGGGTTTAGATCACTTTAGAAAATGATCGGGCTGAGGGGCTGAGTAGACGGCTTAGTCAGAAAGGAGCCTGTTGCTCAACACGAAAACCCAAGTTCAATTTCCAGCACCCCTGGAAAAGCTGGACACGGCAGCACAAGCTTGTGATCTCACTGCTGGGAGGTAGAGACATGGGGATTCATGGGGCTTACTTTATATAAATGTACATAATTTATATAAAGGGTACAAGATCTAGAAATAACAAACCAATCTTAAATCTGTCAGAATCAAGATTCTCTATAACTGCATGATCGAGGAAATATGCTCCTAACAAAAAATTAAAAATAGATCAATAACCAGGTACTCTATACACACAGATGTTTTAACCAGGTACCCTTATATACACAGATGTTTTAACCAGGTACTCCATACACACAGATGTTTTAACCAGGTACTCTATACACACAGATGTTTGGTTGGCAGAGCCAAGATGGCTTGAGCCCAGGATTTTGAGATTAGTGGTGAGAGAGTAGTGAAACTCTGTCTCAGAAACAAACGAGGGGCTGGAGAGATGGCTCAGTGGTGAAGGACACTTGTTTTACAAAGAACCCAGGTTTGGTTGCCCGAATCCACTAAGTAGCTACAGCCATCTATAATTCCAGTTCCAGGGCATCCAGTGTCCTCTTCTGGTCTCCATGGGCACCAGGCACACATGTGATGCACATACATACATACATACACACACACACACATATATATATTCAAACATACATACATAGAGTCAGGAATGTCTGTTCACCTAGAGATGCCATGAGGGAAATGGAAATATATTCTTCAAACTGGGAGAAAACAGCAGAACCAAAGGACTCTGGGGGGCGGGGGGAGGGCAGGGAGGGCAAGGGGGTGACATGCCAGAGGAAAGACAGACTCTTCCACATTGGTGCTGGGAGCTGGATATCCCCATAAAGGAGAATGGGGTGCTGGGAGCTGGAGAATGGAATTAGACCCCTCTCACTCTGAAAAAAACCAATTCAATGTGGATCAAAGACTTAAGTCCTAAAATTCTGAAATTACTAGAGAAAACAAACAAAAATACTTCAGGATATAGGCATAGGCAACTTCAAGATGCAGGCAGAGGCAAAGACACTCTGCAAGGACTCCAGGAGCTCAATGGGGTCGGCCGACGGTGAGACAAGAGCAAAGTTAAAAAGCTGCAGGACACAGCCAGCATCCACATGATGACGGCAGCATACAGAGCCGAGAAAATCAGCAGTCTACCGCTGAACTAAATCCCCATACTGTCGAGTAAATATGGATGCCATCAGCATGAAGATTTTCCCGGCTCTATTGGCTGCCTTCTTCCTGTGGATGCTCACTTTGGTCCTCAATTCCAAAATAAAATAAAATAAAATAAAACAAAACAACCCCAAATTAAACACCAGGTTATTTGTTCAACGAATGGGCAAATGAACTGAACAGACATTCTCAAAAGAAAAAATAACCAATCACCAATAAATACACACACAAAAAGTGTATGCTCAGGAACACTGACGGTAACACAGTCTTACATCATGTGTGTGTGTGCACTCAGGAACACTGATGGTAACATGGTCTTACATGATGTATGTACGTGTGTGTGCGCTCAGGAACACTGATGGTCACAAAGGCACTTCTACAGAAACCTGAACGAGGCAAGGGAAGGTCTTTGCGACGGTAACATGGTCTTACATGATGTATACATATGATGTATGCATGTGTGCTCAGGAACACTGATGGTAACATGGTTTTACAGATGTGTGTGTGTGTGCTCAGGAACACTGACGGTAACATGGTCTTACATGATATGTGTACGTGTGCTCAGGAACACTGACGGTAACACGGTCTTACATCGTGTGTGTGCGTGCTCAGGAAAACTGACGGTAACATGGTCTTACATGATGTATGTACGTGTGCTCAGGAACACTAATACTCGCAAAGGCGCTTCTACAGAAACCTGGACGAGGCAAGGGAAGGTCTTTGCAATACAGTACCCATTCCATCCACAGCCTTGCCTCCCTCTGTCTTCAGCAGTACTGACCCACTGGCAGTTACCTGGACACGATCTTCCACTTCTTATCTCGGTGCCTCTTTTTAAGCTGTGTCTGCCCACACATCTTCTCTGTCCCCTCACAAGTAAGTGAAGGCTTACCCTGCTAAGAGGCAGTTCAGCCACAGTCTCTGCTTCACTGGCCTTCCCTGGTGTGCCAGGCAGGTGGAGGCACCAGTGCCTTGCTCCTGAAGTGCACAGCACACCACACGCAGCACCAAACAGACAGCGCTATGTATGGACCATACTGCGGTAGACGGTTCTTCTCGTCCTCTTCTGAGAGGCACGAATACTCACTCATCTCACGCACATTCTAGAAGCTTCACCCAGAGTGTGGTACAACAGAGGCTCTCAATAACTTTAGTTGCTAATTGTCCAGCGTTTATGAATAACATAAGCACATTCGTGAGATTGGATATTTTGATTGATAGAGTAGGAGATTAACTGAAATATCACTGTTTCCTACATTTATAAGTTCAAAATAGTTTATCAAGGAAAACTACATAGAGACCACTCCTTCAGGCAGCGGACATAAGCAGTTTTTATAAAAACAATGGGCATCACCAACCCAGAGAGACGCCAACAAAGAGCGGCTACTTAGGGGGTGCCTGGAACTCCACTGGTACTATGCAAACAACCTTGTCAATGGTAAAGACTTTAAAAATAAAAATGATTCATGACCATAATTAATGTATGACTTCAACTATTTGGCTCACACTGGCCCAGACGCTTTCTGATCTTACCTTAGGGGCTTAAAACTCACAGACAGAGTCACATTTCCTCCCGTCTTCAGTGTTATCCAAATAGACCCTCAGAGCCCTGCCACATCAAGACAGGGCTCATAACGGCCCCCTTTCAAATCCACTGGAGAATAAACGTTTCAAGTGTTTAGGCTTTTCAAAACAACAAGGCACATCCTGATCCTCCTGGGGTGAGGAGGGGAAGGCCTGACAAGAGAAGAAACAACTGCCTGAAGACAGGGATGCTTCTGGAGTTCACACCGATGAGAAGCATCTATAGAGAACCACACGTGCAGTCACCTGGGTGACTGGTCAGGGTCAGTCCTCCCGGCTGAGGTAAACTCTGCACCCTGCACACTGGGAGAAGAGACAAAGCAGCTACCTCACAGTCACCCTAGTGATGGAGGACAGACGTGCCTCGTCACCTGATGTTATAAACTGAGTTTAATGAAAGTTTTTGCAGACTAGATATTGTGAATATGAAGACATACATCGAATGAAAAATTGTATACCTAATAATACTTATAAATATTGAGAACAACAATCAGATTTTCAACATAGAGATTTGAGAAGGCGTTCTGGTCTACTCAGTGCGGCATGTGAAGTCTGAGAGGAACAGCGGCACCCAGGGCTTCCAGGGAGGCAGCGCAGCGTGATGCCCTGCAGCGGGTGGGGAGGGAAGGTGGGGAAGACCTGAGGCTAGAAGGAAGGCAGACATGACTGAGGCAAAAAAATGCCACAGCGCTCCTTAGCATGTACGATTAATACATGTTAGTAATTATAATAAAATAGAAAGCTCTGCCTTCTCACAGCAAGGTGAATGGGGTGGAGGCGGGAAACAAGAAGGCTAGTGCGTGGTTAGAGCGACCACCTGAGCAAAGACAGGCGCTGCCTGAGTGAAGCTCTGGTTTGGGCACATTAACTGTGTGTGCCCTAAAGGCTGACATGACAGAAAGCTCAGTCCTCGGGGTGGTGGCACTGGGAGGGAACAGAGACTTGAAAAAGTGAGGTCTAGGAGGCATCACTGGGGATGTGCTGTCAAGTGGCCCTTCCCATTCTCAGGACGGGACCAGCCTGACACAGCCCATTCTGCCGCGGCTCCTGAGATAAGCCATGGTCCTTTCACAGATCCTGTACCCACTGCCACCCACTGCCACCCACTGCCTGTGCTTGCCGTGTGGGTTCCAGAACTGCAGGCTAAGAAAGGCTCTGCTCCATGACGGCCCAGGGGCAGCAGCAGCACACCACGAGGAAGAGAAGACCTCTCTGGAGATGACTTAAGGGAGGTTCACAAGTAACTTCATATCGATAGGTTTAATTAGATCAAATAGTCAACCTGACCTCAAACCACTAGTTTCTTTATCTAAAGAAATTAAAAAATATAAGCAATTACGACCTGTTTAATTAGACTTAGGGGCTGGAGAGATGGCTCAGAGGTTAAGAGAGTGGCTGCTCTTCCAGAAGTCCCAAGTTCAATTCCCAGCAACCACATGGTGAATCACAATGATCTATAGTGGGATCTGATGCCCTCTTCTTGCATAAAGTCATACGTGTAGACAGAGTACTCATATACACAAAAATAAAGAAATCTTAATAAAATAGATATAATTAGAACCTTCTCAGGTTGGGAGTACAGCTCAGTGGTAGTATTTGACAAGGACCTGTGAAGCCTTGCTTCAACTCATTGCACTAAAATCATCAAAATAAAATCCTTGTCTGCTTACCCAAACCAAGCTCAGAGGCTTGCTGCTAAAATACTAGATGTATTAAGAATCTTTCAGAGACAAAGTATTTCAATTTGCCTAACAACACAAGTGTTGCAAATATTTAACTATGCAAAGAAGTGCTGTATTTAACTATGTAAAGATGTGTTACATTTGTTTATGTTGTAGAATATTTTTAACTATATACAGATGTACTGCATTTGTTTGACTATGTAAAGATGTGTTACATTTGTTTATGTTGTA